CTTGCCTCTCTCCCCTTGCTCGCTAACCAACTGGTAGCAATATAGCTCGTATCTCGTTGCCCTACTACATCTATCCTCGATGCTTTCATGCTCACCTCGTTCCTTATCCTATTCGAAGCCACTGTTGGATGGGATTGATTGGGACTGCGTCTTGAAGGACAGTTGATCAAATGACAGGAGCAGGGAGGATGTGTAACATGGGAAGAAAGCTTGGTGAGGTCGCAACAACCTGTGGTAGATTGGCGAGTGCTTCCCAGGATCTCTTTGGATCTGTGTCTCAGCGCCCAGCGAATGACCGTCACTGTGGCAGGCAAGTTTCGGCATTGCCCTGCACAGTCCCTGCATCATGTTGCGTCCACAGATGGCTTTCTCCTGCTGTTGAGGACGGCTGCTCTAGTCTCTGGAAGGTGCACCTGCACTCAATGGTATCCAAGGGGGCGATGGACTTGCAGAGTTGCTTTGCTGACTGATTTGCGGCTTGCGGGAAAAAGGGAGAGTTGATGAAATGTCCATCACCTGTTCGGCCACGTCGACCTGGCCCTTATTCTGGACAGGTGCATCTGCTTTGGTTCCCGGGTAAAGTGCATCCCCTTCAGTTCTCTGGAGGCATGACCTGTGAGCAGCAGGTCTTTAAGTGCATATGTGCTGCTGTGTTCAGGGTTGCGTTTTAACTTCTTGCTTTGTGTCTCGCAGCGCATTCTGATGAGATCCCTACACTATTAAAATCGCTAATGTGACAAATCTGAAATCCGGGCCGTCATCGGTCCTACCGGCCCACGGCCCAGATCGACCGAACCATGTAACAATTCTGCCATCTGGGCCGTCGGGTCCTACCAGACCGACGGCCTGGATGGATCCCGTCTTAAGATCTTAAGATCGCGCATCAATCTAGGCCGTTGGCCCGGTACCTTGGGCCCGACGGCCCGGATTATATCCCCGTTGGAGAGGGCTGCGGTACCTACCGGTGCTTTCTTGGCGTGGTACCTTCGGGTGGGGTTTTGTGTTCGGGCGAACGGGTTCCTATAGTGTAGCATATCAGAAAGTGAAATGCACTAACAGCCTAGGATCTAGCAATGATGAAAGTGGCAACAACCAGCAGCATAGATGCAACATTCACCAGATGTCAATGTGCACAATGCAACAAGTAAACCAATGAGAAAAACAACAACAACACATTTGCATCATCATCATCATGGGCTGGGGAACAGCGCAGCGGAATAATAGTAACCAAGAGGACACGTGGACAACAACAGGAAAGGGAGAAACTTCGG